GTAAACTGCATGGTATTGAAATAGTGCATGTTGTAAGGTTATTCATGTTAAAAGAATTAGAAATTATGTCCACGTTTAACTGCACCTGCCATCTAGTAACTTTAGCACATTAGTATGTGCCAAATTTGCCCTGGGATAAGTGAAGGGTATTTTTTTTTTTTTCAATTTCTCCATCAAAACACCTTATCCAGTGCCTTACCCTTTCTCTGCCCAAAAGATCCTTGTTTTTTAACTTTCTTTCACAAAAGCCTTACCTAAAACATCTTCATCACTTCCTGCACTTGGTGCATGGTGATAACATTTCCTCTAGTATAAAAGGTATTTGTATTAGCTGTTCAGGATAGTGAAGGGTAAAGCAGCAAACTGGATTTGTTACTTTTGTTACTCTCTCGCCTACCTTCAGGAGACATTATTACATGACTAAAGAAATTGCCATGCACTAGAGAGACTTCGTGTTTCATTATAACAAATACCATCTGGCTGTGTCGTGGAAAGCATGTAGAGTTAACAATCTCATTGTGATTTTTTGTTTTAAAAGGCATGGCTGACTTTATGACCATGTCTAACATTTGTCCTGTAGTCATACGTATGTCAAGCTAAGTGAACTATATCTCATATTAAAAGTAATGTCCTCAAGGTGGTGTGAATATCCATTAAGAATAACAGGAAAATCAGCTATGATAACTAGGATTGAGATCTTGCTAAGTCCTCTGCTGACAATTTTCATGTTATTGATACATACAGGGGAAAAACCTCAGTATATTTTTCAAAGTGCTTTTGGTCCTAGTAATACAGGAAGAGATCAAGTGTGTTACAAAAATGACTGGATGGCAGCCTGCCTGCTTGGGCACCATAGCTGCTTCACGGGAAAATGAGAACAGCCCACAGGCTACTCTGATCTCTTCTTAGATGTACAGAAAGGAACTAGCCTTGGCTCAGAGAAATGTAGCAAGCTTGCCTTTGGCTCCTCCTCAATTTTTCTGGGTTAAAAAGTAGATAAGTCCAAAGCCTGATAGCTGTTTTTTTAAAAGAATTTACATTTTTTGGTAATTTTTCAAAGTTTGTGGTCATTTCATAAATGATAAGTTTACTACACCTTAGTATTGTATTTGATTTTTGGAAGTATAAAATCATAGAGGTAAAAGACAAATCATCAAGTCCGTCAAACAGAAAGATATCAGTAAACTCTGCTGATATACTACCCAGTTAAGCAAAGAGTCCCAAGAAGTCTGCTGTGTAAACATATAGTTTTACAATAGAAATAAGATTTGATTCTGCTTCATACAGGTATGCACTCGAGGCATTTTAAATACATTTTTGACTTGCAACAAATGGGAGAAAGTACATACATTTTAAAATTTTCATATTTGTTGCTTACAATAGTGAACAAAGCATAAATTGTTACTATAACACTAATGTACTTTGGAAATTATTACAATTGGGGGAGGAATCACTCAAATTTATAAAGCACTTTATAATGATGAAAATTTAATGAGACAGTAAGAGAAAAGCCCTTATCTTGTAACATTTACTCACATTGAACAGCTCATTTCTTTTGCACCTTGCTATTGGTGTTACTGAATCTTTTATTGCTGTCAATTCTTTCTGCCACATATATTAGCATATGTGTCTTCAAAGGTTTATAAAAACAAGACATTTGGTGATCAGTAATTCTGTCTGAGAATGGCTGCAAGTGGCACTTGTTAAAGGAAAAAATATGCTGAGTAAGCTAGTAACAATTGAAGGAACAACAGGGACTGGGTCACCATGGAGTGACCAACCCTCTCATGCACCCCACTCTGCTTATTTAAATATTTGTTGGTTTGGGGTTTTTTTGGTTTGTGGGTTTGTTGCTTTTTTTTTTTTTTTTTTTTTTTTAATGGGAAGCAGATTTGTTGTGTTTAATTTTGTGTGCTTTTTTTTTCTGCTTCCTAGCTCTGAACTGTCGCTCTGAATTGGGTAACTGTTCCTTAGGAAATGTTATTAATCTCAAGTCAACAGCATTTGTACTTGACCCATATGTGTTATTTTCTCCAATGTGGAAAAGAGTAAGACAAAGAAATAATCTATACCTACTTCATCACTTGTTTTCAGAGTTGTAGCAGAAATGTGAATTTCGTTTCTGAATAGGAAAATTTCAAAATAGTAAGCAGTAAATGTAGAATATGACTATGATTAGTGCTTGTTTTCAAATGTGGTTATACATTTTACCTCAGAGCACAGATTTATACGAAGCAAGCTTGTTACTATATTTGGGGTTGGGTGCCTGTTTTCAAAAAATTGCTTACACCGTTTAACTAACCATTCTTATATTTGAATTGAATCACTCAATTCACTGTAGCAAACCATCTGAACTGTTCAACAACTTTCTTTGAATTACTATTTCTTCAAGCATCTAAAGCTAATGAATCGGTCTCCTAAAAAATACATTTCTGTTGGTTGGGGGAGCACCACTTGCTTTTTAGCTTTCTATGGCATTGCAATCGATATTTTCCAGGCTAATAATAAGAAAAAACACATAGGTGAGGTTCTAGTGTGTTGAAATGACCTCAAGGTCTAAGGACTGTGATAAAAGACAAAGTATCACAGGCTTTGTAGTAAAAGCTCACAAACAGGCAATTTTTTCTGTTTGTATTGGGTGTGTATTCTTTTCCTTTCTGTACTTTGCTGCAGCACTAAATTGTAAATTTCTTAGAATGAGATATTTAGTTAGCAAATGGCTTGAATAAATAAATGGAAATAACCATTGTTATTTTACTTGAATTACTATTTTGGGAAGCCTGGGAACTGAATACCCAGATTTAATCATGGAAGGAATTATTTTAATCTTAAAGAATAATGTTAAACACTACATATATGAGCAGCTGTAATAACCACAGATGTCTATAACCCTGATATCTCTGATGAAGATTTATGGTGCCATCTCTTACTGCTAAATTCAGAGGAAACAGTGTTTTCGATTCTTGAATTGGTTTCTCTCCACAAATGTGCTGTGCTGTGATGGTAGATGGCAAATCAAAACCAATGTAAAATTAAAATTTATGTTAAGATAGAATGTACAAGAACAGAAGTATTGTCTTGGTTTTGGCTGGGATAGAGTTAATTTTCTTCGTAGTAGCTGGTACAGTGCTGTGTTTTTGATTTAGTGTGATAATAATGTTGATAACACACTGATATTTTAGTTGTCGCTAAGTAGTGCTTTTCCTAAGTCAAGGATTTTTCAGTTTCCCATACTCTGCCAGTGAGGAGGTGAACAAGAAGCTGGGAGAGAGCTTGGCCAGGACAGCTGACCCAAACTAGCCAAAGAGTAATTCCATACCATAGAACGTCATGCTCACTATATAAATTGGGAGGAGTTGGCGAGGAGGAGTGGAATGCTGCTTGGGCACCGGTCAGCAGGTGAGCAATTGCATTGTGCATCACTTGTCTTTCTTGGGTTTTATTTCTCTCTCTTTATTATTTTCTTCCTCCTCCTTCTCGTCCTCCTCCTTGTCCTCCTCCTCTTCTTCCTCCTCCTCCTCTCGTCCTCCTCCTCCACCTCCTTCTATGCTATTTGAATTATTGTGTTTTACTTCTTTTCAATTCTCCTCCCCATCCCACTGGCACGGGGGAGGAGTGAATGAGTGGCTGCATGGTGTTCAGTTGCCAGCTGTGGTTAAACCACAAGTATTCATCCAAATCATACAAATTTATTGCATTCCCCTAGGTGTGCTGTAATAATATGTAGCTGCTAACTTTTCAGTCAGCCCAGCCTGTCCCAACCTTAAGCCTTGCACCATCTAGAAACTTAAAGGCAAACCCACTTATGAAACTTCAACACAGAAGTCTTTGGAACGGGTGCATTTGCAAAAAAAGGGGTGCAGATATAAAACATCAGAGAGTACAAAATACATGTTGAAATACAGTGATTTGTCTTTTGTCCACATCAGATAAATGTTGACGTCAGTTCACTGCTGTAAAGCAGACTTTATGCATGATCTGAGTTGAAGTAGAAACACAAAGACAGCCACAAAGAAAGCAACATTGCTTTATGTTTATTTACTAATGCTTACAAAGTTGTGAATGTATAGTAATGCCAAAGCTTAGCTGCTGCTACAGCATTTTTTGAGATTAATCATAAGACATAGCACGGAATTTTTAATGGGAAACAAGAATTGAGGGAAAAAAAGAGCTTTCTTCTCACATCCTTGTCTCCTCCAGTGGTCTGTTCATGAAATCTTGGATTGCCTGGTGTAGGGGTAACCATTTATTAATTGAAGCTTTCAAAGCTGTAATCCACCTAGAAGAAATGAAAGACCAACAGCTCTCCCTGATCAAGTGTTATGCACGCATTTTTATAAATGGTGCTTGTCCAGGTGTGTAAGTTGACAGTAAGTGGATCAGAGAGAGGCAGGAGATGGAGGAGTTGACTGTAACAACAACATATCTTGACCCCAAATTCCAACGTAAAGAAAAGATTTGTCCTTTGTTCATCAAATTAAAACCCAAATTATGTAATTAGTAGACTTTAGGCTAGAAGAACTCCCACTAACAGCTGTGGAATTTGGCTGGATTATGATGAGGGAATTCACTTTCAGAACATCATTTCATAGGCCAATTTTCTTTTTAATTGCTAATAGTCATTGTTGGAAATAAATCATTCTTGGGAATGAGGAGGACATACTTTCTGTTATCTGTAATGAGAGGTACCATAGTTTTTCCATTTAATGTAATCATCCACACATTATTGTGAAGGGCACCTTATCCAGGTTTCTTTCTGAACCTCCGCAAGCCAGCCTTGCTGTTGTTCCAGCATTGACAATAGCAGAACTGATGACTCACATGTGACAGCATGTTTTACTGCAGTTTGACTAAAGCTACAATTAAAGGGTAATCTGTGGGAGCAAGTGAAAACAGAATGGAAAGTTGTCACTAGATGTTCCCAAGCTAATATGTTCCTGCTCTCCTAAAGTCTGGCAAATCAAATTGGAAAAAAAAAAAAAAAAAAGTCTGGGGTTTACCTTTTGTTTTCATTTACATTCTCTGCACATAAGTAGAAAGTTTTAAATTCTTCAGATGGAGGTTTGAGTTCAATTACAGATCTTTTGGAGCCCAGAGACTGTTCACTCACAATATACCCCTGTAGGTAAAGGCCACCTAGACAGAATAAAATAGCATGCATCATGTATATTGCAGAAACCATTTATGATATTACTGCCAATTACAAGCATACTAGCAATTCTTGCAAATTGGATTTTCAGATGCCTTGTGTTGGGTATTTCAACAGAGTTGTACAGAATTTACATGTAACATATTTCAAAATGTTAAAGTTCAGGGTTTTTTTCTGAAAAAAATTGTTTTGGAAATAGTGTAGAACATGCTTCCTGTCCAGCAAATGATTAGTGGTATAGCTTTATTTAGCTCTTCATTAAATAAGAAGTGACAAAGTATTTTGTACAACTTTTGATGTTCTTTTTCTTTCCCTTAAAAACTAAAGGGATATGAATTTCCACATTAAAAAATATCCTAGAGTCAGCATTTGTAACTGGAACATCATTGCACCCCTGCTGCTATTAGTAAATGGAATGTCATTGCAAGCTGCACCAGCTGTGATGGAAAGGCATTAGACAGGATTTGGTTTTCAGGCTGTTTTCATTTTATTGTTTTTTTAGGGGGTTGTTTTATTTTGTTTTGTCTTTACAGACCTCACTTCACTGCAACAATGTGTATGTTCATTTTATACATACATGGTGAGTAGCCAAAAAGACCTGCAGACCTGGTTAACTTAGCTGAATGTTCCTGTTATTGTCTTCAGTGTCTGTAATTGTTTTTGTGTTTAGTGACAAGAGCATCAGAGTAATGCTATAACATTGAGAATGATACGGGGGAATCAGAATCTGTAGTGAAATTGGAAAAAAACCCTATTTGCAATAATGAGAAAACTCTACCATTTACAAAATTCATATGTAGTAGGATATTTAAATGCCAAAGTGATATATTTAGCAGCAGGAGCATAGGCTTGGGTGTTGTAAACACATAATACATATTATTTTGCCTTTCCACTAATTCATTGCTTAACTCTTGGCAAGCTTTAGCTTCAGTTTCATGTAGAGAGGAAATCACTAGTCATTTCATATGTATGGCCTTTGGCAGATGAAAAGTGCTGTGTAAATGCTATAAAGTGGAAAGCCTCATGCCTGATCTTGTGGCAAACAGCATAAACCCTAAGAAAACAGTTTTCACTTTTGTTCTGAAAGCTGGCTAGTAAACAGAAGTACAGGAGTATTTTCTTTCTGATTCTTCTGACTGCCAGCTTCCTTAGCACAGGAAGAGTGCATTTGCAGGTCCTGACCCATTCCCTCTCCCTGAAGCACCTCTATTTTTTTTTTTAAATACCAACTTTCATGGAGTTGTGCTTGCAGGCTCTCCTCCGTGCCTGAAACTTGGCTCCTCTACTCAGAATTGACCCGGTAGCCTCACGTTGCTGCTTTCAGAGGGTGGCCAGACACCATCTTCAGGTGTGGGGAAGAGTGCTAGATGGCCACACCCTGGACTATCAGCCTCTGCTGGAGTATGGAAGTTCTGCCTGTTGATGGGTGGACTAGCTTTGCCAAGACCATGTGAAAACCTGGTAGTGGCAGAGAAACCAGTTTGAGTATATGATGCCCCTCCCTGCAAGGATGCTGCCTAATGCAGGAGTCAACAGCTTTCAGAGACTGCCATCAGTGGCACTGGTTCAAGCCACTGTAAAGTGCTTTCAGAGGGTGGATCTTGTCGCTGGTACAATCTCCTGGGGCAATATGCACAGATCCTGGCCACCTCTATTTGAGAAAGAAAAAGTCAGACTGTGGGAAGAAAAGGAAAGAAGATGGGGGGGGGGAATGAGGTGGGTATTTTATGAAAAGAGACTGAGTCTGGTCTTCACTCACCTTCACAGGACAGGGTGAATTTGCTGATAAGGAACTCTCATTAATGGCTAAAGTTCTATTTGGAAACTGCAGTCAAAGATTTCTGCTTTAACAATCAAATAAAACCCAGCAGCTGTCCCTACCTTGGGCAGGTGTAGACCGAAGGGTGGCATAAAAGTACAAACAGCCATCCTTCAGAATGCAGTAGTGCTGAATCCAGATGTCTTTGCTTCTGTCCAGTTGGTGGAGAAGCCCCAGGCACTCTGGGTTTTTGATAGCCAATGGTGGAAGTGTAGTGTTATGCAATGTGACATCTACCCACACATGGTTCTGTAAAGTAAGCATGTAATAAAAAGTTCTGGTAAGAAATTAAGGAGGACCTGCTAGTATGAAAAGACAAACTCTAGTCCCCTGCTAGAAAATTAGCTTTTATTGTAAAATTAATTTGAAAAGACAACACTGAAAATGCAATTAGAAAAAACTGTATTTGATGGCAAATAGTGACCAACTTCTATTTGCTTCTTAAAATAATAACTTGTCTTTGCTGCATCTACTTTATTTTTCAGTACAAGTCTTGTTGGTAGAAACAGGATTATTTTAAAGCTGTGTGAAGAAGCCTTTTCAAAAAATTGTCTTGCTGATTGTCTGACTTCAGCAGTCTTTCCTGTGTGCAATCTGGCAAGACAAAGTTCACCATCTACCCTCTGGGTTTCAGAGAAAGTGTAGTGTCTGAGGCCAGAATACAGCACCCAGACTTGGATGGAAGCACTACCACACAGAAAATATTTACAGATGCCTTTCCATCCCTTTTTGGAAAGCAAAGCCTTTTTCATTACTAAAATTATCCTAGTGACATTTACAGGTGAAGATAAAGCTCAACCCATGACATGCTGCCATTGTGTAAGCTATTTGTATAAGAGAATCCAAAAAGCAAATCAGGAAAAAATAAACTGTTGTTTAATAAGCTAAGTTGTCTAATGTGAGATTAAAGCATTTCTTCTTCTCCTACTGTGTTTTGTTTATCTGCAATATGTATTTTGAATTCTACATCAACCAGTGCAATTGTGATTTGAAATCCATAGGGACAATGTGTGTAATATCAATAGCATCCTGTTTGCTTCCACAGAGCTTTTCTTTTGCATTTGTTTATGATATTTTTTTAGCATCCTTGACAAGGCAAAGACGGAAAAAAGACCTGGCACAACATAGCTAGCTGTATTCTTTGTTATGAATGGGAAACCTGCTGAGACTTATTGCAGCGTAGTGCAGAAGAGGACGTCAGTAATACTAGGTGTATTCATAAAATAGTTATCCTTGTAGATTCATTAACATGACATAGTGTCACAATACTGGTCTGTTAAATCACTGTGCTGTAAGCCCTACTGTAACAGATCAGCTATTGCAAAAAGTTAGTAACAAACAGTATAGCAAACAAAAAATAAGGAAAATATAAGCTATTTCTATTCAACTGAATGGAAAGTCCAGTTAGAAGGAACAGATATAGGGTTCACTAATCTGTTCAGATAAAGCAGTCAAATATAAGATACAGTAGCACAGAAAGGAGCCAACTTACTCTGTTGTTGTTAATGGGTAAATGCGTGGGAGATCTTTCTGTACACATAATGTTGGAACTTCCTTTCCAACAAGTGATTTTTCCATGTTACACTAAAGAATGCCTCTTTTGATGTGTTTTCTTTTGTGTACATGTGCCTTTGTCCTCCTTTTTTGCTCAGGCTAATTTTTGTTTCTTTTGGCTAGGGTGTGCACTTTAAATTGATTTATTTTTGCTGTTTTTAAGTATGTAGATTCTTTGTATTCTTTTAAGAAACACTGTCAGGTAGAATATATTTGGAAACAAATTTGGTTTTGCAGATACAGTATTATCAGAAAGCTGAAGCCGAAAGAAATATATGTTTGATTAATTTTATTTCAGTGGAAAAGGAACTAAAGTAACAATAGACACACCCTTTCACTGTTTGGAAACCCTTCACTAAAGCACGCTGCTGAAGGAGTCACTCATGTACCCTGAGTTGAGAGAAGGAGGAAAGTAAATTTTTTTTTTTTTTTTGCACTTCATTAATTCAGGTTATAATCTGTACCTTGCAATTTTCTTATTTTTTTATTGATGATTTTATTTCATCTGCAAAAAATGTAGACTTTGATACTCTGCATTTGAGCCTCACATTCTTTCCACTAAAAACCAAGCTGGTTCAGTATCTAAACCTTCTTAAAAAAAAAATTTTACGGATCAACAGCATATTTTTAAAAATGTGGTCTGCCTACTACAGACACAGGAAAGGGTAAGAATCATGGGGCCAGGAAAGGGCAGGCTAAAGTGGCTTTGACCCCTATGCTTCCAGCCGTGGAAGTACTAAAATTAGGTTTACAGTTCCCACTTCAGGAGTCAGCCAGGGACTATTCATACTAAATTATTTTGGGCTGAGCAAGCTCAAGATCAACTATAGCTGTGTTTCTTCCAGCCATATGGGCCAGTAGACAGTACAGCTGCATAAAGAGATACAGTGCTAAGTCAAAATTTACTTATCTTTCTTCATCTCTGAAAATACGGAAAAGAACTCAGCAATGCCCCCTGCCCTCCTTCTAATATTGTATTGGAGAAAGCAGGTAACTTGCAACCAAGGCAGACTTGCAGGGAATAGGTAAGAAGATACAGGACTTCTCTCCCTTTACTCCAAATAGTATTACCTAGTATAGAACATGTGGTTGTGAGAGTTGTCTCTCCCCTTCCTCCCTTCCCACTAACCTCATTTAAAGTTATGTTTCTGAACCACCTTAAAGCTGCTGATATCTGGAGAGGGAGCATTTTGATTCATTCCACCATATGGCAGGAAAGCATATTTGCTGGGTCACAATAAAGTCTGTGTATGGCTTAGACTGGATCCCAGAAGCCCAGAACAAAACTATGCAGCTTCCACATTGCTGTCTGCACCTGACCGTGCACAAATACATCTACTATCTCTCAGTCTTCTGCACAAACTGCTATACCCATGCTTCTCATATAAATAAAGCATTACCTGATGGACAGGATGCACTGCTTTATCCATAGCCTCCAGCCACCTATAACATAACAAAAAATGAGAATAGCTTAGTTTGGTAGAGCAGAGTAAATATGCTTCACTGCCTCTTTTAACTCTCGCTGACACAGCATCTAAAGGGATGTGCAATTTTTGGGACACATTAAAGACTTCAAGATAGAAAATTAGTGGATTAAATCTAAATAAATATTGTTAACTCCCAGAAAAATAAGTCTCAAAGCTTGCTGTACAACATGCTGTAATAAATTAAGGCAATATTTCAGACAAGGGAATCTATATATGTTGCATATAGTTCAACATATCAGGCTAAATGATCGCTCTTCTAATAACTTCGTTATAATGTAGATAAGGAATTCGTGGGAAACATGAAGAATCCTGACATTGGAGACTACAGAATAAAGCAAACTATTTGTTGGCAATGTTATTCTTTTTGTGCTATGGATGCTATAGAATTTGGACGTGGAAAATGCTCTGCTATTACAATGGTGGGTGCTATGTTAAGTAGTAAGATGATATAAAAAGACGGGCGGATGAATACCAAATGTCATGCCACTTCATAGCTTTATATTTTTGATAATTCATGATAAAACAAAAAGGAAAAAGATTAGATTTTAATACATTTTGAAATTAAAGCCTAAAAGGTTGTTACTTGTGTTTTGGGTGATTTTAGTCTCTTTGTTTTGTCAGCTTTAGTCTTTGGGAAATGCAAAAAGACTATTTTTTAAGTCTAACTCTGAGTCAAACTCAAAGGCATTGCTTCATGAGAACCAATTTGCTTTTGTGGCTTACTTGCATTTTAAAATACTAAAATGACAATATGACAGAGTGACAGAAAAGGATATGGAAGATGGGACTGTGTTTATTACTAGCACTGCCGCTATTGGGCATTCCAGTGAATTGATCGATAAGCAAGTTTACATCCACAGGAAGATTTACACTTCCATATGATATAACAGTGGGAAAAAAGTCATGAGAATATGGGTGAAGACTTTTTTTGTGGAGATAAATCAAGAATTCAGGGGGATCTTGAGCAAAGCAGGAATATTCAAGACTTTATGAAAAAAGAATTCTCATTAAAAAAACTATGAAGCTGGAAAATAATTTTTGAAACTTCCACAAATGAAAATTAGAAACATCATCTTCCCATAAGTAGCTGTCAGACTGTATTTTTTCCTAATGATCAAGGCAGGTATTATGAACATCCTCAAAAAATTCAGATTCCCTCTCTCCACACCAGAATAACAAAAAAGACCCTGTAAAATGAAAGATCATTTACCTCTTCATTTCTTGGTTGGAAGTTGCACAAAAGTAGAAAATCCTGTTTCCACTTTGAGGTACACATTTAAAAACAAATGGTTTACCCAGACTGGTGTCAACACCAATTTCTGCTCCTTCCAGCTTTGTTACTTCCAGGGGTCTGCATTTTCCTTCATCCTACAATTAGAGAGAAAAACTTGCAAAGTTCAGAACTAATCTGAAACCAATCACTGTGAAATGGGGATAAACTCAGGCAATATTCAAAGGGGTAGAAGGTGGTGATAAGCTCTTATGCTTTTGAACTATCATATGGTTTAATGATCAGCGCCAGAAAACACAGTGCAGACACAAAAGATGAACTAGTTAAACACCTCTAAATCTGCATTTCTATTTTTGCTCTCTTAATTGTTTTGCTTTCAGTTCATCATACCTGCATGTGGAAATCTCACTAAGTATTCATAAAGATTCTAACTTTTGGGGGTGCAGCTGACTGAGAGTGGTATTTTCAAAGTGCACTGAAGAATTTAGGAGCATGAGTCTCTTCACTAAGCAATGCTGATTGCAGTCTGGGTTTCTGCTGAAAACCTCGCCTTATATGTGCAGATAGAGGGAAAAAAGATTCACATTCAGAAAATAGCATAATTTAAAAGGCTGGATTTCAGTTCCTTTGCAAAGTTGCTCTCAATATGTATGTTCATAACCCTTCCCATTAATATTGGACAAATTTTGATGGAAAGCATTTCAAAGTCTGTTACACCATATTGTTCCTGATTGAGTTAAAGCTCTTTGTGACTGAAGGGCATTTCAAATTTCTTTCTCTGTGGTTAGTTATAAGAAGCCATTAAGCTCCTTAATGTAAGTAAGTTGGTGAAGCAGTTTCTCCCCTCACTATCACAGCCCAGCTCCCCTCAAGTACATGTCTTAACTCAAAACAAAGGTACACCCATCTGGACAGTGAATTCTAGCTGTGTTTTAAATAATATTCTTAGCCCCCTTGCTTTGAAGAGCTATGACTGAAGCTCTAACAATTGCATCAAATCTGGCAGCAATAAAATGGAAAACATGAGGTAACACTGGGACCTATGAAGAGCATTACTGCCATTTGCAAAATACACAGATGGTGGAGTCTCAGAATAAAATCAGTTGATGGCAGTTAATTAAATGTTGTGAGTAGGAGCTGAACTGTAAATGCCACATGTAATTTTTTTATTAGCTTAAAAATAAACATACCTGCCCTTCCTGGAACAAAATATGCACCTATGGCTATTAGATAGTTAAATACTTGCTTGTATGCTTATTGACACCTATAATTATCCCTTTGTTATACATGGTTTTCTGTAGGAATAAAGTAACTCCTAATACTGAAAAAAGTATAAATAAACACTCATGAATGCATTTCCTTGATATTTCTTCTTTTTTCTTTTTTCTTTCTTTCTTTTTTTTTTTTTTTTTAGTGCAAAAAACATAAAGTCAGTACAGAAGATGAAGGCAATCCTGAAAGTCGTCAGTGCTCTGTAACTTACTTTACTTATATGCCTTTGGATACAAAAGTACATTGCAAGGACAGCATAATTAAAATACATATTCAGGCTCCAAATCTCATTTTAGTGTAAAGAACAATAAATGCTAGGTTGATGAAGTGTTATTCAGCAAATACTGTCCATGGTCTGGGTTCTGCTGACTGTTCCAGCCTGAAAACAGTCACTGCAGATACTGAAATGGCTGTATGACCACTATTACTGTACATTCCTATAAACTCCTTTTCTAAACACTTTCTGTGCTGTCTAGAATGAGTGCAGATAGAGCTCTGTGTCATCAAGATTGATTTATGCCCACTGCATTTCAAATGAATACATCTAGGAAAGCAATAAGATGGATTCGAGGCATTCAAAGTGAGACCAAATGTCCTTCATTGACTAATAGGCAGCCATGCTCCGTTAATTCAGACAAACCAGATGTAAGGGCCATTTCTTTTCACTCACGTGGCTTTAATGAATAAAATCTTGAGAGCATTCCTTTGGCAAATACCCCTTTGTTACAAAAAGTGCTAAAGGTATATTGCTGAAAAAATAATTATAAAAGTAGTTTCTTATACCTGTGCCCGGAGAGTAATCCACTGACTATACCACCACTACTATGGAACCTACTATAACTATGTGATGCTGCTTGAGTTGATGATGTGTATCATACAGATTTAAATGAACTAACTCAGATTTTAGCTACTACTGTTCCATTCTGCACTTAAGTAAAAAAGACTTTTTGTTCTCTCAAAGCTGTTTCATGGATTCTTGGCAGTCTGCAGCATCTAACATGGATGGAGTCCTCTGGATAGAAGGCAGAAAGCTATACTGCTTTGGTAAATGTTAATCTAAGAATAACAGAAACATCTGAAGTAATGCTTTCCTTGCTGTTAGTTTTCTTCAGATGGCCTGAGATTTAAGGAAAATGTTTCTGCCAAAAAAATGAAAATATTAAACAATGTATAACTATAAGAAACTGAAATAAGGGAGAAATACGAATAGAAAAGTAGATGTCTCCTTCCATTATTGTATGAAACAGTCATTAAAGTAGTGAATGTAGCCTGAGGCATTCACAAATCAGCCCTATTTAATTTGGTGTAAATACTTCCAGAAAATAAATGACATTCATAGCATTTCCTGAATGATTCTCTCTGTTCAAACAATTTTGAGCAGAGTTATATTTTCTATTCTAGATAAGCTTCTTTGTCCATTTGAAAGAAGTTGAAAAGAAAAATGAACATTTTGTGCTGTTTGCAGTGAAAGAAATGAAAATTGTAACAGGAATAACTATGAAAAGATTAAAATTAAGCTACACAAGAGATGGCATGTACTAGGAAAATGGAATAAAAGTAGCTTTAAAGAAAACAGGATTAAATCCTAGAAGAAATAACAGACAAAATCTAAAACACAATGTGAAAACTGAGCAGTGCTAGAAATCAGAAAGGAAAGCTCTGGAGACTGTCAGTGGAAAGCATAAGGTAGTCACCCCTAGGTCACTGGTTCAGATGGGTTTCAGGTCAGTAGTGGCATAACCAAATTTTTGACTGTGTCAAAAATGTCTTCCTCTCAAATGTGTGAGGAAAATGAACTCTTTCATTTTGCTACTTATTTCTCAATTGCCTAACTTTCTCCATCACAGCTGACGTGGCCACAACCCTCCCTGGCACTCAAGATTTTCACCATCTGTTTTTTTTCTGGTTTTGTCTGACTAGATTCTCTGAGGTCTAGTGCTGCTTGCTTAGTAGTATCTCGAAAATTTTCCCCTCCCTATCTCTTTTTCTTTAGTCACTGTGCTTTGTGGTAGGCCCAATGTTTGGATATTTAGGAAATTATAGCTAGAGCCTGTTTACACTTCTTCCTTGAGTTGACCACATTGGTGCAGAGGAGAGACTAAGACTTTTACATCTTTTTCCCCTACATCTTTTTCCTTTCCCCTTGAGGAAAGGATTTGCATATGTCAGTGAACAGAGAGCTCTAAACTCCACAACTGTTCGTATGGCATTTCTCACCCATAGAGCTGAATTTATTTGGTTTTTCATTTTGTTTTCCTTTAAACAATTCACATCTAAACTAGAGAGAGCAAGACAACAGTATGAAAAAAAATTAAAATTTCCTCTAATTTGAAGAACCTAATTATCCTACACCTAACTGTATTGGCTGTCAGATGAAGTACAATCAGGTGGTCTTGTGATACAACAAATCTTCACATTCCAGTTGGATCTTTTGTTGAGGTTGAGTAATTCACTGCAATTAATTGCACAAAAGGTAATAAACAGTTTGCAGGACCAAGCCTCACAGGAAGAAGTATTGATTTGATTTAAATTTTGAACAACTTGAATCAGGTCAAAAAACATATCCAATTATGACTCTTTCTTTGGGTTAGGTATGCAATCTGGGAGTAGGCCAAAATTAACTTGCACATTGTATCAGCCAGTGTTATTTCTCATGTATTAACAGAAATAATACAGTGGAAGTATTGGAAACCTTGGATTCAGCAGCTGTTTGTAAACTGAAAAATATATCCTGGAGCTATGGGAGTCATGGAAAATGTAGAGAAGTAATCATATGGTATACCAGCTGCAAATAATGTGGCAGATCCCAGACTATGATGATAAAACTCCAAGCAAGAATGAAGAACAAATAGAAGTGATATCTTTATAAGCAATAGTTCAGACCTAAATCTATTTATAGTTAAGCCTTTTACATAAAGTGCTTAAGCTTAGAGATGAACACAGGCTTGCTCAAGAGAACAAAGGACCGAATGTTTGTCATAGATTGAAATGATGTGAAGGGTCCACATATGGCAGGCAAGGGATTTCTTTCAGGGTATAATAATTGGACTCTGTACACACCACAGAAATTAAAATAAATTAAATTATTTTTTTCCCTCTCTATTCTGTTCTACCAGGAACAGTCTTAAGGGTGCACATAAGCAACCAGAAGCATGTACTGTAGTGTCTGAGTTACAAAATTTTTGTAAATACACATTCTATAAAATGCTGTGTTCCCATGGACAGCAAAGACAATTGTAAAAAGAAAAGGGAACAGTCAAGTCGGCATTTAAATTTCCTCTCTGTGTTTAGGGAGGGCGTTCACTTGTTCTGTGAGGCCTGGGTGCAAAGCGATATGTCTTGATGTGAATAAAGGGTAAGTGGAAGTCTGGTATCCAGCTGGCTACATGAGGTATGCTAATGTTGCTGTTGAATCTTATTTGGAATAGAGAGAAAGAGCAGCTTGTAATACAGTCTCCAGTTGTTCTGAATGAGGGTGCGAATGAAATGATTTACAAACACAAACATACCCTAATAGAGACAATCAAGGAACAGCAATTTCCTTCACAGAGACACCATTAATTAAAGAATATTCAATGAGGAAAGCATCCTGCTGTTGAGAAAAAGTGAAAAATATGGACTCCTTTGAATGTAAATAGCACTGTTATAATTATCTGAGCAATACTTAATTGCCAGTGTGATGGCTGCATTAGTGAAATAAACAGAGAAGACAAGATTCTGTTGAGCTGTTGAAATGGACTGGCTTCGTAATGGAAACAGGAATATGACCAAACATCTGATCATTTAGATGATGTAATAACTGTTTACCAGGCTGGGGTCTGATAGCTTTTGGATGTTAAGGAATGCACATTTTTGTTCCTTCACC